TAGTGAAGTCTTTCAGGACAGGTGTAAGGATAAATACTCGCCGGTTACATTGGCTGGCGGTAGCACTATATGCAGCGGAATGACAGAAGTTAGAATTCATGCAGCAGCTGAATGGTCTACGAGTTCGCCTTTAAGTATTAAAGTGCTAGGTTCGACCTCCGGTGGGATCGTGGGTGTGTACTGTTGTAGAGTCCTAATCACTAGGACAAAACGGCTATCCAGTACTCCCTGGTTTACAGTGGTCCTCAAACTGATATCAATACATGATCAAACTTGTATCAGTAGCAATACTACCAAATGCAATATATATATATATAACAGGTGCAGATGAATTACGAGCATATACTACTTTAAAACCAAAAGGACATAAGAGGGGTAAATATAACTTAAGAAAACCGGAAAGAGAAGTCTTAAGGAAACCTTGAGAATAGCGAGGAGAGAGTGATTGCAAAATCAGATAAAGGCGCCTTCACATTGTTATGAGATAAATCAGACTCTTTGGAATAGGTTGATACCCATATGCAATCAATACCGTATGCAGAAATTAAGAAATCAATAGACGCCATCACGAATAAAGTTAAGAAGTTCACACCGTAAGAAACCATTTCTGCGTGAGTTCCAATGGTTAAATTTAATGCACAAAACTAATAACAAGATCAGCGTACATTATCATTATCATTCCTTTGGGTCCTGAGTTGGACATAAAACTCAAGCAGCACATTATCAGTGCACCCTTTTCGCCGTAGACCTTTATAGGTGCATTCAGAAATGCCTGTAGGCTCTCATTTTCTTTTCACATGATCTCTTGCATTTAATACTCTAACCTACATCGAACATGTCGCTTCCCATTCGAGTTCCAGCCGAGGACCTGGGGCAGGATATCACTCAACGGTCTCCTTAGAGAGTGCCTAATCCATCTATTGATTACTGCCTGCAATTTTGTTGAGCAATAGGTTCTTGATTCGTTTTTTGTCACTGTCCTATACTGCTTATCGTTTCGAAGAGGTTATGTGATCTTCAGTGTCGAGTGAAGTAGTGAGCACCCACTGAGGAAGTTTTTCATCCTACTGGAGCTTTTGGTGAATCGGGTGCCAAGTGTCTAAACCACGCAGAATCACTGACTTGAAAGTGGTTTTTAAAATTTGGAGCTTTTTCCTTATGCTGAGTGCAGTAGATTTCCCCAAGGATTTCAGAGTAATGAGTGCCTGTCTTCGCTTCTCGATCGTGGCTTTGGAATCTTCATCTGTGTCAACCTTAATTGAAATGTTGCCTAGATAAGTGGAAGAGATGGCTTCCTTTAGATTGCTACCACTGATGGTAACTGGTGCTTGTTGTCGTTGTCGGTAGGGAATCTTCACCAGCTATATCATCTCTACGATTACTTCATATCCTCTCTTCGTCACCTCTACAAGCAAATTGTTGGTTTTCGCTTGCACATAGTCGAGTTAGCGCGAATTATTTGAATCAATTGAACTTAAAGGTAAACTAAACTATTTTGAATTAGATAATGAAGAAAAAATGTTAGCTCCGACGTGTAAATAATATCGTTTCACTGTGCAATATACCAAATAAATAAATAAATGTGAGATGGATAGTTTCCTAGACTAACTGGGATCATGGGGTTTAGTGTGAGTACGAGTCATTGTGCGTCACCAAACCTAAAGGTGAGGTGAGATCCGGTTGCTTTGCTAATAAATTCTAAGATGCGATCAGCAGGCACATTATCGGTTTGTCCAATGGTGTAGACATTTGGCCTTGCGCTACGTACACTGTCGCGGCGCAGCAAAAGATACGAAGATGGTGGATTATGTTTGCAAAAGTTGAAGCCAGAGGAAACTGTGGTGGAAGGTGTTAGTGATTCTGACGTGCATGTCGATCATATAAAGGGAGTATAGGGGAGAAAGACTAATCAAAGCATCTAGTAACCAGTTCACTCAGAGGTCTCTTTCAGGACAGCTAGCATTCAAAGAAATAAACAGTTTTATCGGATAAATCAAAAGATTAGAGGTATTAGGAATAAAAAATTCTCAACTACTGTCAAGCTTTAAATGGATAAGAAACCTAACTCGCTTAAACTGAGTTTTGTATTGAATATGAGGGCCAAATAGGGACCACTTATAGCAATTCTATTATGGGTAAAATTTTATTTTAATGACGTTTCGAGCACAGTTTATTGTTGCTCATAATCATATCAAGCTACACACACAACTTTCTAACTTCCTTTTATCTAATTCCATTATTTTTTGTCTCATGACTAGATTGGTAGTAGTATTTCCAGTATTTCCGGTATGAGTGATGAGTCATTCCTATTCCACGTGTTGGGTGTATACTCGATGAATGAGAATTCAGTAATCAACCTCTCTCTCCACCTACCTATGTAACTTCTTAGAATTTTAACCCTCTCCCACCCTATTTTGTGGTTGTGTGTTAATGCATGCAGTGCAATTGCTGAGCTTTTTTCTAAATTACTCATCATCATTCTAACCTTACTGAATCCTTGTTCATCGAGCCTACACCCAACACGTGGAATAGGAATGACTCATCACTCATACCGGAAATATGGAAAATACTACTACCAATCAAGTCAAGCGATGATAAATAATAGAATTATATAAATGAAGTTCGAAAGTTATGTATGTGAGTAACTTGATATGATTATGAGCAGTAATAAATTGTGCTCGAAACTTGGTCATCAGCAAATATTACTGTATAACCCTGTGAGACTTTATCAAAATAAAATTTTATCCATATAATGGAATTATACTCCACCACGGTGCACAAGTTTTATCCTCGCACCATTTCTGGTAAACTCAACTGGTTCTGTGGTACGGAAAAAATTCAGTCAATATCAAAAGTAAGGATTAAACATACAAGAAACTAGCTCCTGTCTAGGGACTATTCAACATCCATATTTAATGTAATCATTTCCTTTACCTGAAATATTGATGCCAATGAAAATGATCATCGATTCAAAATAAAAATTAGAGTTTATTGCGAATAGTTGAGAAAGTCAATAAGGGCTTTCTTTACAAGCACATAAGCTAGAGCTTAAGAATAATGTTGTTTTTCTTTTCTAAAGTTTAGTTTCGAAAAGTTGCAGTCGAATTTTCAAGTGTTTTCACCATGAGTGTAGGTGATTGGCATTCTGTAAGAATTAACACTGAATTATTTTGTACAGAAGAGTTTTTTAACTTTAGTAGACGAAGAACAGCTTGCAACACTTTAAGTAACATTTCAGTTATTTCTATTGCTGAAGAATACTTTAAAAATATAATGCGACATATTTTAGAATAAAACAGACCAATAAAAACCTGTAACTTATGTTTGTTATGACAGATAAAATCCAATACATCGCTACTACATTACGTGGAAAGGCAAATCATGTGCTGATCGAATTGCAACTCTATGCATAGTCATAGAACAGAGCATTGAATGGCAGTCAAATCTCTCTCCACCTCGAACTCATTAACTTCGAAAAGGCCTTCGAAAGACAGCACTGACTGAGAAGTAACTTGATAACTGCTTCAACTCTACAGCGTGCAGTACCAAAGTCTTTATCAACCTCATTCAATAGCTGGCTATATGACAATTCCTGCCACGTGTCCGGTGATGCATAACGGAAAACCCAGCGAGGCCTCCTGTTGAAGTGAATACAGGAGTAAGACAACCTGGAGGCCTACTATCACTGATGCTATTCCTAATTGTGATGGATTGGATTATGCCTGAGACTGTGAGGGGTGAGAAGAAAGGAATACGCTGCACTGACCAATAAGAAGACTCTAGAAGATCTGGATTTCGCGGGTGGATGATTTATGTCAAATTTCACATAGGCTCGAAGACTTGCAGACAAAAACTAAAAAACTGGTAGAAGTGGCATGCAGGCAGCGAAGAGAGGAATCCAAGTGGACGTGGAGAAGACGGATGTGATGAACATAACCAACCAACAGAAACAACAACTAGAAGCAATCACCATCAACGGGAGAGATTTAACAGAGGTTACTTCCTACCTTCACTCATCTAGAAAGCAATGTTTCAACCACAGACGGTTGGCACAGATGAAGATGTCAAAGTAAGCCAGCCAGCCAGAATCAGAAAAGCAAGATACGCCTTCATCAACGTCAAATCAGTTTGAAAATCTTCTGCACTCCACTCAGTTTGCATAAAGAACAAGACTCGGATTTTCAACACAAATGTTAAGTCAGTCAGTTAGTGTTTCCATACATGTCAGAAACTTGCACTGCGTGTCACGAAAAGGGATTGGCAAGAAACCAACCAAGGAAATGGAGATGGGTCGAATATACGTTTAGGAGGCCGTTGAATGAAATCGCGCCTCAGACCAGTCCTCGAGTGAATCCCGATGGGAAGCGAGAATCGGCCACTCTAGGGTGACACTGAGTAGATTGTGAGAGGAGAAGATGAGAAATTATGACCAATCGTGGACCCAGATGAAGAGGATAGCAGGAAATAGGACAAAGCGGAGATATATTGTTGGAGCCTTATGTTCTACTCAGAACCCAAGGGGATAATAATAATGTAATACACTACATCATCGGCGGTCCATTGGCAGAGGTTTTGCCATTTACACACATTCCCAGCCGACGCTCTCCGAAATCTCACATTGTTTACTGGTCAGTAGTAGGCATGGACAACAGGTAATATTGGATGTGGGACTGGTAACCCTTCCTGACAATGAAAACGACACTGTTTCTACTAAAACTTCAAAATACTGAAACCCTATATTCCACACGGAATATGACATTAACAAAATGTGATAACTTATTTGAAACTACTTATTACTGATCGATTAATTGAAATGAGTATACTCAAATCAACCAGTAGTGTTTGCTAGCCAGATCGTGATGACCTAAACACCCGATGACCATCTTGTTCATTTGGGGCTGAGCTCATCAGTAGTGTACCCAGTTTCGACTCAACTTCACAGAGCTGAATCAGTTCAAATTACCCAAACTAGTACCAGTTTTATAAATACACTAACTTACCTGAAAACTTTTATGCATTGATCACATCTCATTGCCTTAGTTGCATGTAATGCCAAATTATGACGTCTTAAACCAGTATTTGAATGAAAACTTTGTCGACATATTGTACAAGAGTATAATGTTTGCTTCGGTTTACTTAACTCTACTGAAGTTTCCTCCTTTTGCTTTTCATCCTGTTGTTGTTGCTGTTGCTGTTCTGGTTGTTCTTGTTCACCTTCTTGTGCTTGTACTTCATTTGATAAACGCTGCTTTTCTGTAGATGGATCAAAGGCACCAGATTCAGATGACTGTTGATGTTCTTCTTGTTTTTGATGAAGATAATGATGATATTGTATCTGAGGTTTAGTGTCATTAGTGTCTTGGTTAATTGAATTATCGTTTAAATTCTCCTTTTTAATATTATCCACATTATTAATTTGTTTCATAAATACATCAGAATCAGTAATAGTATTCGTATTAATAATAGTAGGAGTGGGAGTAGAAGTATTAGGAGGGTTAGTAGGGGTAGTATGAGTATCAGTAATAGTAGTACCACTACTACTAGTAGTGGCATCTAAATCTGGTTTAATAGCGACAGTTGGAGTAGTGGTTACACTACCATTATTACTACTATTATTATTATCGTTATTATTATGATTATTAGTACATTTTAAATACATATCATTCGGATATGTTAAACCTGTTAAATTTGAGTTAAAAAAGTTTGCAGTAGACGATGCAAGTTGAGCAATTTTTGATACATTTGAGTAATTAATCAATGATAATGGAAATTCATTATTATTATAATTTAGATTAGTATTATTATTAATATTAGTGTTATTATTACTGTTATGAGTACCACTCATAGTTTTTTGTACATTATCATGTAAAATGGAATTATAAGATGATGTTACAGCTGCCAATGATGATACTGAAGGTGATGTTAAGGGGGAATGTAGATAAGGATTAGGTGACTGTAGAATATTAACCAGGTTATCGTTATTATTCATGTTTTGATGATGAGGATGATATGTTTGTTGGTGTTGTGGTTGTTGTTGTTGGTGGTGGTGGGGGTGGTGTTGAATACTATGAATACAATTCTCGTGATGATGATGATACTGATGCTGATGTTGTTCGTGTTCAGGGTGTTGATATTGATGTGGATGGTGATGTTGGTGTTGCTGTTGGTGCTGATGTTGATGTTGATTTAGACTAGCAGCAACTGTAGCAATATTTTGTTGTAATTTTGCAGTTAATTGTATTAATTCATTACTGAAATAAAATCTATCCAAATTTAAACTTGTCCATAATTGTAAAGCTGCATCTTCTAGTATACGTGAACTTATTTTACTTGAATTAATCAAATTCTGTGTATTGTCTAGAAATAATTTAAGAAATAAAATGAAATTATTACGTTATTATTTTGGAAAGTACTACTATTGTAATGACAGAAGGCAAGAGTCAGGCAACAGATCATTTATTAAGGAAATCAAAGCATATTTATATATTTTCATGTACAGTATCATAGCTTAGTTAAGCAAACAAACACAGTCTTCCGATTGGTTGTTTCTCACGTAAAGTTAATCTTTCATCTATTTGTGACTGTTTCTTGAATGTCAAATCCTCTATATGTTAACTGCATCCGCCTACGCAAAGTCTGCTGTGGTCAGTTTTGAATCAATCTTTGTTCACATTTTCTCACGACAAATCATGGGAACGTAAATATTGACGTAAATTACTGTCTACCAATTTGGCTAGTAGACAGCTCTAACCACACTATGATTATTATAACCGATATCCATTGTACAATAGTTGGGTGGTTGTCATAGCCCGAGTGGTCTAGTAGATAACGCATTAGTGTTTGAAATGATAGGTTCTGGATTTGAGTGAGTCTCTGTGGGAATAGCATCACTCCTTGGGGAATGTAGGTACATCCAGATGATGAGTCCTGAATGGGATGAAATGCATATCTTGGATTCCACTTCAGAATACAATCCACTAAATTACACGTCAAACGAATTCTCAGAGATCGTCCGAGAGTATCTACTAGAAGCCGACATGTCAATAGAGGTAGGATGTCTCGGTCTAATCAATCAGTGGGAAATCAAAACTGAATTACAAACAAATAATAATTATTTTATTCAGAAGTTAATTGGTGGATGGTGACTAGCAGTGGAATCCACGACAACGCGAATTTCATCCTATTTCGGACTCGTCAGCTAACTGGATGCACTTGCATTCCCCAGTGAGTGATGATGTTCCCACCGAGGCTCGAACCCAGTGCCCATAGTTTCAAACGCAAAAGCTTTATCTACTAGACCACTCGGGCCACGAGAGCCACCTCTTGGGCAACGGGTCATATTAATTATTTAATTGAATTTTAGATTTTCCCGTCGATTAATTAGACCGAAGTGCTCGGTCTCAGGTTTAAATGTCGGCTTCTTGTGCAGATGCTTCGACTGCTAGTCATCATCCACCAATTAAGTTTTAGTTACATGCCCAGACATCGTCGAAGCATCTACTTAAGATGCCGACATTTAAACCTGAGACCGAGCACTTCGGTCCAATCAATCGGCGGGAAAATCTAAAATTGAATTAAATATTACTTTATTTGATTCCAGTGCGTTCTAAGTGGAACACAGGGCTTCAAGCTTGAACTCTGAAGTTTCAGTGTCCATGATATCGTTTTCTACTGGGTGAGGTTGGTTGACACACGTCCAGCCTTCCCTTTCCACCGGCCTTACTAGTGAATAATCAAGGTTTAGGAGACAGACGACCGGAGAATAAATTCCGGACCACGTTGGGCGTGATTGGCAAGCATTCTAATACTGAAACATCAACGCGCTAATTTTTAAAAACGTCATCTATTTTACATTCTCAATTGGTTTACAATGAAAGATTCTTAACATAAGATTTTTTTTCATTTAGAACTTTATACATTGATGTAACCGTCCATGTGTTCACACCTTATAAAAGCTCTCCATAAATGTAGCAATAAAAGATATGTAAAGAAACCATAATAAAGTAAAATTTACGGGTTGACGAATAATGTACAAAGAGAATAATGGGGATTTATAGAATCTGAAAGGTCATAAAGAGTGAATGCATTAGCTCTATTCACAAAAATATTGAGCTATTTTACCAACAGTCCCCAAGCGTTGGCTCTTAGTGTCTCAAGGACCCTAACCAGGTAGTCTACATCCACATTTAATAGCTTAAACTAACAGCTGAAAAGACCTCATGGATGACGAATGCAATGAATTAGCATGCTTTACAAGCTATCTGAAAAACAAATACAAGACACTCATAATATTTTCTATAGTTTGGTTTGTAAGGGTTTGTTATGTTTTTACGAGTTGATCACGGACTGATATCAGCTAGAGAACCATTGAAAACCAGCTGGGAGTACTGGACAGCTGCTGTTTCATCCTAGTTTGGGAATCATCGGCAGTACGCACCCACTGGGATTCGAACCCAGGACCTTCCGGTTACAAGGCAAGCTCGCACTGCCGACGATCCCCAAACTAGGATGAAACAGCGGCTGTCCAGTACTCCCAGCTGGTTTTCAATGGTTCTCTAACTGATATCAGTCCGTGATCAACTCGTAAACACATAACTAACCCTTACAAACGAAACTATAGAAAAGTAATCTGATGCTCGCTAGTGACTTGCTACAGGATGGAGTTTCCTGGAGTTCTAGTGAGAAGTCGTGACCAGTGAGGTCCAATTAGATGTCACGTGTGTGGATGGATGTTCCACCAACGACAATGGTTGTGGTCGCGCTAAATCACGAATTGGTAGAAGTTAGAATTCATGAGCCATTGAATCGGGTCCCAGTGGTTGAATGGTATACGAGCTTGCCTTGTAACCGGAAGGTCCTGGGTTCGAATCCCAGTGGGTGCGTACTGCCGATGATTCCCAAACTAGGATGAAACAGTAGCTGTCCAGTACTCCCAGCTGGTTTTCAATGGTTCTCTAACTGATATCAATCCGTGATCAACTCGTAAAAGCACTCATAATACACTACAACTTATACAAGAAAGAATGACCAAAAATAGAATAGTCAGGATTTAATACATGAGAGGGATCACAAACAGTAGATATATATGAGCTTCTTTGAGAATGGTTTTGAACCAGTATCACCTACAGTCACATGTCACTGGTTCTTAACCAGGTTGTCTACATCTCTCTCTCTGTATGACTCAAACCAATAATGACACGCTTTGTTCTGACAATATTTGAATTTTTTCCAACTTAATCCTATGTCAACCGACAGTGATTGACGAGGAAGGCGATGGTTTGACATGCGTAACATGTGTGTAAGCCATCTCAATCGACACAGCTTCATGACCTTATTGATTGATTGCTCTTCCTTACTTAACACTAAATAAAACTGCATTACAACTGAACAAACACCTATGATCTACAACAGAAACCCAACGCTTCACATAAATTCTAAATATATTCATAATTCAAACAGTTTCAACGACAAGGATGATAACATTCTTGAAGATGCGTATATCACTGACAAGCTATTCTGCCAAGCACGAAGAATATTAGTGATAATTTATCAAATTCAATCAGTGTAGGGTAACTTTTAATATTGAAACTTATAATTCACTAGCAAATGCTTTGGAAACACTTCACATTTATTTTAATTGGGGTATATGCACGTATGCACGAAAATTTCTAAAAGTATTTTAATAAAACATTATACAAAATGTCAATGTAAGTATCACTAATCCAGTGTATTTATTACGTATTTTAGTTTAATGTCTTGTGAACATGTCGAATAATACCCATTAAGAAAAAAAAATGTGTAAAACACTAAGTCACATTTTTCTTTGTATGCGTTAAACTAACAGCAGGTAAATGCTCAAACAAATGAAAAAAAATAATCACATTTTCATTTTAGCATATTTTAGAGGCGTATGTACCTTAATTAACAAACATCAAAAACATAAATTGAAATACACAACACACATGCACTGATTGGTCTTCACTTCTCTTAACCAATTTTTATTCATTCTATTATGATGAATAATGCGTAACAGATATCTAATCTTTTTTTCAGTTGTAAATTATGTAAGTAATAGGTAGTTTTCTTTGACGTCAGTGTTTAGAAGCATAGGTTATTGGCACTGCATAGACTCCATTTATAGGACACAAGTGAAACATCATAATTTTCAAGTATTGGTTTTGTAGGGATTTTGTTCGATTGCATGGAGGATTTCATCATGAACTGACATCAGTTAGAGAACCAGTGGAAAACCTGGGAGTACTGGACAGCTGTTTCGTCCTAGTTTGGGACTCTTCATCAGTATGCACCCACCAGTACTCCCAGGTTTTCCAGTGGTTCTCTAACTGATGTCAGCTCATGATGAAATCCTCCAAACATCATAATTATCAAATTTTTTAGGAATAAATACTTTTTAAGTCTACTTTTTTTGGAGGTGAGTGCGGGGTGGGAGGGTTCCGAGTTGAACATTGGGCTTCAGCAAAACATCTCCAGTTCTCTGCTGTATTTTTTTCGACTGGCTCCATAAGTTTTTAGAACCCTTCATATCTCTTTCCTTTCGAAGTTACAGAGACTTGAAATAAGGTTTACATAATCAGATTCCAGGATCTTAACTGAATTCCAAGAAATATGAATATCTTCAAGGATCTTCATGTGTTGTTTATCTTAGAACATATTAGACAATGATAGAAGTGTGCATTTCTGAACACATACCAAAGAACCTGAGACTGAAAGGTCCACAAGTATTAAACAGTGCAATTGCGCGTCATCTATTAGACACTGGTCATAATGTAGACAACTTGAAGTCATTCAAAATAATCAACAAGCAAAGGAAACCTAACTTGCTACACTTTGCTGAAGCAATTGCTATCAAACGACTTAAACCAAATCTATGTACACAGAATGAGACAGTGGTGAATCGTGCACTGCCCTGGTGATAACAAAAATATACAACTTTTATGAGTCACCCTTCTTCTTGTTTAGAAAACTCTACTCTCTCATCTAAACATGACTCACTCTACCTTGTTCTTTTCTTTTTTATTGGCTATTAGATAAAACGTTTTCTTTAGTTACGTAGTCTACTCTTCTGTTATGCTCCTTCTAGCTAAACCTTTTTTCTATACACATATATACGCAACTCTTTTTTGTTTTCAAGCCTTATCATCCGAATAATCTATAAATAGTCAGTGTTACTTTTACTTCCTAGCAATTACTCCTTGTGATCGTGGAAAAGTATGTTCAAATCTTTAATGTAATTCATATTTTTATCGTTCAGGTTGTAACTAGTTGAAAAGAATCCTCGAAATAATAAAAGATGAGGTCATATTATCGTGGTACAATTGTTGTTTTTGCTTTGTTCA